GTATAATTCATTATGGGACTTGTTTTTAATACAACTAATTCATGGCAAGAAATTCTTGGATTTCTGCTCAAAATTAGTAGATTCTGTGAAATGACACAACAGTATTGTGGGACACTTTCTTATGCTAGAAGAAGATATATATTCTGTGAAATGACAGAGAGAAATTATTGGATTCTTTGTTAATATTCCTGATTCTTTATTTATACTAGAATCATTTAGATAAAATGAACCAATAAGCAGGATAGATTCTGAACCAATTTGGGATATTTGATTAGCAGTGAAATCTGGACGGTAAGTTGGATTTTTTCAATCATGCTACATGTACATCATTTTTTATATCATTCATTACATTGTGCCATGTGGCAACACACCGTTGGACAATTTCAAAAAATACATTTTTCCTTGTCACAATTTTTTGAAAGATGTCATCCTCAATATAAGGAAAATGATGTACAAGTGAAATTATTGTTTTTTATTTGGGATTCTAAACCAATTTTTAAATTTTTGAAAGTTCATGCATAACGAAACAGTTGGATAGAAACAGACGAAAAGGACGTTTTGCGATTTTCCATGCAACCTAAAACATTTGATCATGTAACACTAAAGTTCTGGATGAGTAATGTTATTTGATATTAATGGTGCTAAGTATTAGTTTAGATAGTATGCAAGTGTCATTAATTGATAGATTACCTTAAATTGTAGGAACGATATTTAGACTTATAATACACTTTATTATTTATCATGATCCATATACTTATAGAATCACACGATCATGGGATGTCGCTTTATTTGGCAGCTAGCGGCGCAGCTCTTCCAATGTGGTGGCCATCCCAATTGCTTCTAATGAAGTGGAAGGAATGAGTAATTTTTAACAGTCGGGAATACAATTCCCAAGAAAGTGGTCAAAACGGTGATGGGAACAATCATTCGTCCTTAACCAGACGAATACCAAGGAGATTTTCCTCGAATCTATGGATGCACGGCATATAGGGAGAGCTCATGTTGGGTGAATGGAAGGTGACTTTATTCTCAATTCTTCGTCAATAACAGAGCAATCTCCGAATTGGTATTTTCTTGTTTATTGTTTCCATGTACCTTGTCCTCGATTTTGGAGTTCATCCATTGCAAGTCAGTTTTGTTCTTAAAAGTTGCACATTACTTGGTTTTAGCTAGTGGGCAGTTCTTGTGGTGGTATTTTTTAAAGGCTTTTTTGGTTAAAACAAGCTGCTAGTTTTATTTTATTTTTCTGTACTTGATTGGTTCTATTGTAAAATGTAAATTTATGATATTGATTTAAATTGATTTATTTGTTAGACTGTGCTTCTTCCAGAGGTGGAACAAGAAAAGAACAAGCAAGACTACACATTATTTTCTTGATTTAAATTGATTTATTTATTAGAATGAAAATGGGATGTCCTCAGGCCGTTTTTGTGTCCAATGTTTTCGATAAATTTATGCCAGTAGTACTAATGATCAACATTTGACGTAGCAATGATCGCTACCACGTTCTTCAATAAATTAAAATGACTCAATTTTATAGGAGAATGTGACACATGTCACACTGCCATATAGATTATTGTTTCCAATGTAATGCCTCCAGATATCATTACTCTAAATTTATCGAAAATTATCGCAGTTACAATAACTTTACATGGACTGCTAATGGGTAAGCATAGATTGTTGTTTGTAGTGCAATGCTTACAAATATCATCACTCCAAATTTATAGGAAAATGTAGCGTTTACTTTACTTCTACGGATTCTGATAGGTAAACACTGCTTACAAATAATATTACTCTTTCACATAGATATATATACATAAATACGTGCACACATGCGGACATGTGAAACTACACATCACAATAAGAGCCTATTAGACTATCGCTATAGCAAATGACAATGACAACCTACTTAATTATCCATTAAGAAAAAAAGAAAGGAAATTCCTTCGATTATGTAACGTAGAATTTTACATCGACAATGTTCCCTCGAGTGTTTGAAATGGTTGGCAGCCCACATAATACTACAAATAATCTTTACTCAAATGTGAACATGATCATCCTCAATCATCATAATCTTTTTGTTTTCTTCAGCAGAGTGTTGGCATCACTAAACAAATATAGTTTCCTGGATTGCTCTTAAAAAATGTGTAGCTAAGTGATGGTTCGATTTGGCCTCGTCCTCTTAACTCTTTTTACAACAGAAACTATGTGCTAGTCAAATTTGGTGTCAAAAACACGCCATGGAGCTTGCAACAAAATATATACAAAGCAGGCCATGTATCAGATTGGCCTACATGCTTATAGCGACTGATTTAATTAACAACTTTCTCGACTTGATAGATGATTGAGCTATGAGTCTCTAATCGAACTCTGAACCCCTGACTTGTATTGAGAATGGATGATCAGATGAAAATCTGCAAAATAAAAACATCATCCCCATCAAAATTATACATGGCATGTCTATAGAAAAAATAAATCTACTTGCAACTAAGAGGTGCTTTGAAGAAACTAATAAATTAATGTTTTTATCTTAACATTTTTAACTTTAATGATTTCAAAAAAGGAAGGAGCTTTAGCAATTTAACAATATATGAGTCGCTTGCTTAACACATTAAATATTTATCAAACTAGTTCTTGCGATGTGCGATGATTGTAATGTATTGTAATAGAGTATTTAATAGATGGAATTACCAAATTCTTGTTGTAGTCTGCCATTTTTTGCTCATGGGTCTGCAAAGGCTCAACCTCCTCTCCTTCCATCCCTTCCCTCAAAATAAGTCTGTATACCAAAAAGGAAAACTAAGACATGTTTCCCCTCTCTTTTTGCCAGAGTTAATGGAAGGGAAGAGACGTGTGTCCCCCACTGAAAAGTAGAACAAACACCTTAACAGCTTTCACAACAACAAAAAAAGGAGGAAAATCGTATCATTGATAATTTCATTCAATTAATTTTGATAAAATTCACATGAAGTCCCAGTTTTTAAACAATAATTCTTCTTGAAATCCTAATTTTACTAATTCGATGAACTCACTCTAAATTCAAATTTTTTAAAAAATTTGAAGCCAGAAACACAAATTAATGAAGATTGTTGGTTGGTTCTCACCTTCAATCTAGTTTTTTGTGATAGTTCTTGCTTGTTGTCTTCCTCCTACATTAATTAAAATAAAATAATAAGTCAACATAGTTGCCAAGTTTTAAGTACAAAAAAGTTGTATAGCTTAATTCCCCCACTAACGCTCCCATCGTCCTCATCACCATTAACCTCAGACTGACTTGTCAGACTCATCTTTAGCACCTCCAACCTATAAAAATAGTTCGGCACAAGTGTTTGAGTATTGCCGTCTAAACTAAACAGTGCATAACTCTATGCTTCTCATAGATGGATTACCAAATTCTTGTTGTAGTATTCCATTTTTGCTCATATTCCTCCTTTCATTTCTCTCTCTTTTGCACAAAGGGAGCTTTTTCCTTATTTTCAAAACACTAGGAAATTTCTCGAGAAGAATAAAATATAAACAATATCTTAGACTGCATATAATTACCTCATCACTCATGGACTTCCACTTATCTCCACCAGCTTTTCCAACCTATATTATTATATATACCCAAAAGGAAAACCAGAAATCATAAAGAAAATTGTCTAATTAACCTTTTGCCAAACGGCATAAAAAGATAATCAATAAGAAAAAATAGAAAGAAAAGATAGAGACAAAAAAAATAAAAAAATCCAAATGGTACATACATGAAAACAAAAAAGCAATTGGAGGCCTCTTTGCCTTCCTCACAGCGAGCCTAATATTACCATTGCAAGAAAAATCAATCACAAATAACTATAGCATAAAACAAAATGTGATAAACAAAAAGGAAATAAAAACGCGCGCGCACACGCACACCAAAAAAAAAAAAAAGGTAACCAATACATACAAGGCTAACTGTAGAAGTAATTTGAAGTAATTTTCTCGGTAAAAAATCAATAAAAAACCCTGCACTCAATCTGACGAACAAATGCTGATTTAAGGGGGGAAAACAAAATCCTTAACCATAATGAGGATCATACCTATGTCATCCCAGCCAATTCTACACTGAGTGCAATGAACCATGTCGTATGACAGGATGGAAATGGGAGCTGTCTTGAGATGAAGTTGTTAATGATTGCCGGGATATCTGTCTCAAGGGCCAGATGAACCTGTCTACCTGTTGGCACATATGATGCTATACAGAGAGACATCAACTTAAGTGATAGCAGACGAGCATTAAAGCTACCAAAACCGCAACAAAAATCTAGTGCAGACCTGCAATTCAGAAGAAGAAAATCTTCATATAGAAGACAACTCTATTGTGATGTAGCTTCCAGCAAAAAAGAAGAAGAAACATATATTTCTTGTTTCAAGTGTAAAATAAATTAAGTGCATTGATGCTATTAATAGAATAACATTTGGCTCAACAAACTTAATATAGTTAAAAAAGGCAACTGAATTTAGCATCAGTCACATATCCTACCATATAATTTCTCTGAGGCCTTTACACGAACACTTAAAGTGCAAATGAAAAAAGTAAATCAAAAAAGAAACTTACTTGAAGATCTAATAGACATATAGTAAGTCGACTCAGTGGATTTCCAATTTGCTAAAGTAGATTGAAGCAAAATATTAATAATTTAATCACTCCAATTTTATCTATTTGATAGAATTTTACTGTTAATAGAACACATACAAGGTGAGAAGAGAGGCTGATTTTAGCGACATAGCCAATCAATTACTTGATTGTTGGTATCGGCTCTGATATTGATTTACACTGCAGAGAAGAAGCACACATATAAGATACAGAGTAGCATGAACACTTGAATAGCTGTTACAGAAAGTGTAGATTCACTTTTTGCTACAGAAAATTCACATTCTGATTTGAAAAATAATTGACGAAATGTCGAAAAGTGTTCTGCTTGAAATGATGTTGAGATTCATAGGTATCGAATTAAATCTGTTACCTCGTGTAATTGAATTCATGGACGTGAATCAAAGACGGAATGGTCATCAATTACGACGAGGGGAATGTCAGCAATGATGGGCCAGTAGTCTCCTTTGTTCTTCAAACACCGTTTATTAAGAAGTGGGCAGCATACGATCCGAAGTCTCAAAAGCTTTTTAAGTTGGTCTTCCATAGGCAACGCCTCAAGCTTTGGGCATCCGTCGATGTTTAATTCTTGAAGAGAGGTGAGGCTTTGGAGGCCCTTCGATAGGGTTTCTAGATTCGGCAGCTCATACAACGACAATGAAGTTAGAGATGGAGGAAGCACACAGTGTTCTTCGTCAGCATTGTTAGTGAAGGAAACCAGCTCTGGACAGCATCCACCAAATTCAAATTCTTCAAGAGAGGTGAGTTTGTGTAGGCCCCACTCCCCCAGGGGCTTTAGTTTCCCGCAATTTCTGATTTCGAGGATCGACAGATTTGGGGGAATATTCTCTTGGGGAAAGAGTTCCATTAATGAAGCACAATTAATGAATCTCAGGACTGAAAGGGACGAAAGTAGATCCATCCGATCCGGTAAAGACTTGAGATGTTTACAATTATTTATATAAAGAGCACTTAAATTTGGTGTGGGCAAGCCTCCATGGGGAAACGACTCTAGACCATCACAACCAATTATACATAGAAGAGTGAGACTTTGGTAATTGTGGCCAGAGCCTAGTAAATTTGTCAAATTCCAATTCAACCAACTATTCATAATCTCCAGGTAACGGAGCGAGGTGCTGCAATCCTGTAGCTTCATCATTGTCTTTAATGATGGACATTGATCAATAGCCAACCTCTCAAGACAAGATATTTTATTAGGCAATAACTCCAAAACTCCACACTCTTGTATCTCAAGTATCCTAAGATTAGGAAGAACATTAATCTCTTGAAGGGACGCTAGCTTAGGACAACTTTTAACATGCACTTTTCGTAGTTTGACTAGGTTTCGTGCAGTATTATCACTTGGCCATAGAGTCACAAGGTCGTCACATTCATCAACTGAAAGACTTTCAAGTGTAAAAGGGAACTGTACAAATGCTTTGATGATTGAAGTTAATCCGAAAATTTTCTTCAATTCTATTTGGGTTAAAGATTCCAAATTCTGCATATGATTTAGCACCACCACATTACACTCTTCAGCTTCTAATTTACGAAGGGATGGCACTAAGAGTTTTGGAAGCCTGACCAATTTTGAACAACTTCTTATGTTCAGTTTGTGTAGCCGAGGAAGTTCAATAACACCTTCTATTCCATGCCATTCCTCCCAGTTAGACATGTCCTCAAAAGTCAGATTAATGAGTGATGGAAAAGGTAATTCTCCGTTGCCTCTATTTCCATAAAATTCAGCTCCAATCACTTTTACTTGACTAATGCCTTGAATGGTCAAGTCTCTTAGCAAAGGTAGTTGCCCTAATGGTGGCAAAGTCGTGCAATTGTAACATTTTTCGAAGCTTATCTCTGCTAACTTAAGGAATGCTGAATCTCCAATCCAATTAGAGAAATTCTCACCCCCGTAATACTTAATTTCAAGTGTTGATAAGTTCTCATGGGGCTTTAATGCATTAAGCACGTCCAATTCTAAAATTTTATTCCGAGAATCATCAAAGTCTTCGCTCCATGCCAAACTTATTTCATTGAGGCTTGGCTTATCCATTAGC